ATTTTGGGCCAGGAATTAGATTCATTAGCGGATTTGGTGAGTAATAAAGAGTGAACGAAGCGCGGCCAACATTGTATGTCACAACTTAACTTTAATCGCTATATTTTAGTTGTTAATATTCATTTTTAATTAAATTTCCTTAATTAATGATAGACGCAAAATTTTGTTGGACTACATAATTTGTCAAATGTACTTAAGTTTCTCCGCGAGAAACCCGAACAAATTTCAGGATTCTCATCAGATTCTTGGCCATCTTGTAAAATCATTCACGAAACTTTCTGTAAAAAACTTCAAAAAGTTTACCCTGGATTGTTAGAGAAACTTGAACCAAGTAATGATTCATATAAAGATAACAAGTCATCCATATGGGAACAAATCAAAAAATCTGATGATGCAGAAAAAGGATTTACGTTTAATTTTTCTAATGACGAATAAAAGGAAAGTCTGTATAAAAAATGGTTTTATATTTTTATCAAATTATGAAATATTCGTAATCGCAGAGATCAACGTGGATTGTATGATTCTTTACTGAATTAAAAGTTCATTAACATGTGAGATAATTATTGTTTCTGTTAAAGCAGCAATGCAAAAATACATTTGCAGATACTAAAGTTTTGGAATCTTTAAGGTTTTGCTCACCATTGCAATCCCACTCAATGCATACAATAATACAAACGGATGTAACATAATATTTGGAAATATTTCAATCACACCACCTGGTAAATTATCATCTATTTGCCCCTCCTTAACAAAATAAGCAATTATAGCTACTATGGTCATTGTAGTCGGAATTGGAGTCCCTTCAAAGTAGTTAATTTTACCAGCAGAGTCCTTTGGAAGAGATGCAACAGTTGCATTATAACGGGCCAAACGAGCGATACCACAAGTTATAAAAACTGAAAGGATCATAGTATCAATGAATGTGCACATTCCTACAGCGAAACCGCACACCGCAGGAGCAACACCGAATGATATCTGCAATATTGCATAATATTATAAAAGATGAATAAAACTCTTTCATAGTGTGACCAAGTCAAATAATAAATAGTAGTACAAATACAATGTTGGCCGCGCTTCGTTCACTCTTTATTACTCACCAAATCCGCTAATGAATCTAATTCCTGGCCCAAAAT